TGACGAAGAACGTAACCTTACCAAAACTCAAAAGAAGTTGAAGGAGCATGGTTACGGAGTTGACAACAACAAAGCCGGACTTGGTTTCACACCAAATGCACCTGTGATGATTTCAAACAAAGCGAAAAACACTAGCGCTCAACACATCAGCGTGAGCATTGAACAAGACCAAGAAGAGCCTAAACCCTCCCCTCGGACGTCGGTCTTCGATAGGATGAGCCATTCAAGCTCCAGAACGTCAGTGTTTAATCGCATTGATGGTCAAGACCAAACCTCTGTCTTCAAGAGGCTTAACGCGCCAACATCCCAAAACTCTGTTTTTGAACGGTTGTTAAAGCTTAAGAAACAAAGCAGCACAGTTATCTCTCCTCTGCGACGATCAGCTTCAGAAAAATTTGAAGATAATGAGAAGTTTTTTGGAAAGAGGAAGACAACACCAAAGGAAGAAAAGCTCGATGGGTTAGGAGAAAAAGATGACGTTCGAAGCTTGATTCCTTCAAGGATGAAGCGCCAAGCAATCTTGGAGGTCGACACAAAGGGACCACTGAAAGTGACAAGGCGTACTATCATCCACACCAGACAATCCTTATGCCAACAAGCTCAAGAAGACAGCACTGAAGAGGAGATCCAAGATGTTTTCCACATCACGGTTCAAGAAGGTAAAGAAGACGAAATCCCCGAGGAAGATGTCACTGCTGCACCACCACAGCTCGAAGACGGGGGGCAAGCCACGGTCGATGATCTCAAGGAACTCAACTTAGGTACAAGCAAGGAACCAAAGCCTATCTTCGTAAGTGCATTATTAAGTACAGATGAGATAGAGGAGTATTATCAGCTGTTGTTAGAGTACAAAGACGTCTTTGCCTGGACCTACAAAGAAATGCCCGGCCTGGACCCTATCATCGCTGTTCATCATCTTGCGGTCAAGCCTGGAACACGACCGATAAAGCAAACTCAAAGACGCTATCGATCTGAGCTTATCCCACAAATCGAGGTCGAGATCGACAAGCTAATCGAAGCAGGCTTTATTCGAGAAGTGCAATACCCCAAGTGGATCTCCAACATCGTCATTGTCCTTAAGAAATCAGGACAAATACGTGTTTGCGTAGACTTCCGGGACCTCAACGATGCTTGCCCAAAGGACGACTTCCCCTTGCCAATCATTGAAATCATGGTGGATGCAACCACTGGCCATGAGGCATTATCATTCATGGATGGCTCTTCTGGGTACAATCAAATTCGCATGGCCCTCGAAGACGAGGAACTAACAGCCTTTCGTACTCCAAAAGGTATTTACTGCTACAAGGTGATGCCCTTTGGTCTAAAGAACGCTGGAGCTACGTATCAACGCGCAATGCAGAAAATCTTCAATGACATGCTACACAAAAACGTAGAATGTTACGTAGATGATGTGGTGGTTAAGACGAAGAAAAGATCAGACCACTTGAAGGATCTACAAATAGTGTTCGAAAGGCTACGAAAATACAACCTCAAGATGAACCCGTTAAAGTGTGCGTTTGGCGTCACCTCTGGAAAATTCCTCGGATTCATCGTCAAGCACCGTGGTATTGAAGTAGACCAATCAAAGATCAAGGCCATTCAAAGCATGCCCGAGCCAAGAAACCTGCATGAGCTGAAAAGTCTACAAGGACGGCTAGCCTTCATTAGACGCTTCATCTCCAACCTCGCAGGACGTTGTCAACCGTTCAGTCGCCTTATGAAGAAAGATGTCCCATTCGTATGGGACAAAGCGTGCCATAATGCTTTTGAAAGCATAAAGAAATATTTGTCAAGTCCACCTGTCCTGGGGGCACCTGTGCCCGGGAAACCACTCATATTGTATATTGCTGCTCAGGAAAATTCAATCGGAGCACTCTTGGCGCAAGAGAATGAATCCCAAAAAGAATGAGCACTTTACTACCTCAGTCGGACTCTCACCGGCGCTGAGTTGAACTATTCCCCAATAGAAAAGATGTGCCTCGCTTTGGTGTTTGCCATTCAGAAACTCAGACATTACATGCATGCTTACACCATCCACTTGGTTGCTAAAGCCGACCCTGTCAAATACGTTATGTCTAAGCCAGTCTTGACGGGGCGACTCGCTAAATGGGCTTTGCTTCTTAATCAATATGAGATCATCTACGTCTCAGCTAAAGCCGTCAAGGGACAAGCGCTAGCAGACTTCCTTGCCGATCATCCAATCCCGGCTGATTGGAAAATCTCAGACGACTTGCCTGACGAAGAGGTGTTCTACATCAATATTTTTCCGACATGGACGATGTTCTTCGATGGATCCGCACGAGCAGACGGAGCGGGGGCAGGAGTGGTATTCATGACGCCACAAAGGCAAATACTACCTTACTCCTTCCAACTGAATGAGCTATGCTCCAACAATGTTGCTGAGTACCAAGCATTGATAATCGGGCTCCAAATGGCGATCAACATGGAAATCACAGCTCTTGAGGTGTATGGCGATTCCAAGCTCATAATCAATCAACTCTTAACTGAATATGAGGTGAGGAAAGATGATCTCGTCCCATACTTCCGGCTAGCGACCCAACTGCTACGAAAGTTCGAAGCTGTGACACTGGAACATGTGCCAAGAAAGGAAAATCAAATGGCAGACGCTCTCGCCAATCTAGCCTCGAGTATGACACTAGGAAAAGATGAAGTTGCAGACGTGCCAGTTTGCCAAAGGTGGGTGATTCCGCTCGTTAATGAAATGTCACTAGATGATACAAATGTCATCTCAGTACTTCCAGTCGATGCTGAAGAGTGGAGACAGCCGCTGATCGACTACTTAGAGCACGGAAAGCTTCCAGATGATCTTAGACACCGTTCCGAAATACGTCGACGAGCACCTCGCTTCCTTTACTACAAAGGAACACTCTACCGACGCTCGTTTGAAGGAGTGCTCCTGAGATGCCTAGGTGAGGAAGAAGTTAATCAAGCCATGGAAGAAGCACATTCAGGTGTGTGTGGGGCACATCAGTCTGGACCAAAGTTACATTTCCGGCTTAAAAGAATGGGTTACTACTGGCCAAGTATGGTGAAGGACTGCCTGGAACACGCCAAAAGGTGCCAAGCCTGCCAATTCCACGCCAACTTCATACATCAACCGCCTGAACCATTACACCCTACAGTTGCTTCATGGCCGTTCGACGCATGGGGATTGGACGTTGTAGGACCAATTACGCCAAAGTCATCTGCAGGGGAAGCTTACATCCTAGCTGCAACAGATTACTTCTCCAAGTGGGCTGAAGCCATACCTTTAAGGGAAGTAAAAAAGGAAACTGTTGTTCGTTTCATCAAGGAGCATATCATCCACCGATATGGGGTGCCTCGCTACATTATCACTGACAACGGAAAGCAGTTCTCCAACCGACTCATGGACGAGCTTTGCGACAAATACAAGTTCAAGCAGCACAAGTCTTCCATGTATCATGCTCCGGCCAACGGCCTGGCAGAGGCATTCAACAAGACGTTGTGCAACCTCCTGAAAAAGGTAATCGGCCGAACAAAGAGAGACTGGCATGAAAGAATAAGTGAAGCACTTTGGGCATATAGGACTACACATAGGACTCCTACCCAAGCTACACCTTATTCTCTTGTATATGGCGTAGAAGCTGTTCTACCGCTCGAAAGTCAAATCCCCTCATTAAGGATGGCTATACAAGAAGGCTTGACTGATGAAGAAAATGCAAAGTTGCGCCTTCAGGAGTTGGAAGCGCTGGATGAGAAAAGGCTCGAAGCTCAACAACACTTGGAATGCTACCAAGCACGGTTATCCAAGGCATTCAACAAGAAAATCCGCCCAAGGTCTTTCCAAGCCGGAGATCTCGTGCTGGCATTGCGTAGGCCCATCATCACAACTCATAAGACAAAAAGCAAGTTCACATCAAAGTGGGATGGACCCTACGTGATACAAGAGATCTACACCAATGGCGCCTACTTAATCATGGCGGAAGACGGGTTGAAGATTGGCCCCATCAACGGCAGATTTTTGAAGCGCTACTACCCCTAAAGCAAACGCACCACGCTCCTGGCCCGCAAGAGCATAAACTGTGTACGGCAAAATCATCATCAAAACCATCACCCATTTGAACTACGTCATGACTTGATCCCTCCTCAACCAAGGGTACGTAGGCAACTTGAAACTTCAAAACTTCAAGTACAGTCACATCACCAACAAAAACACAAACACTTTGAAGAAAAAAAGCGAATTCAAACTATGAATACTTTATTTCTTTAAAGGAATGATTTGGTTACAAAGCCGTATTACAAGGGTGAGCATCACACCAACGTCACCACCGAGGAAAGTTGTGACCAAAAGACACTACACAGCATAAACTCGCTGCAGTCTTTTGCACAACCACACACGATAAAAGTGACACTTTGGGACAAGCTTCAAGTAGCAGTGGTAAAGAGCCCACGACAAGCAGTAAGGTCAATGTGCACAACAAAGTCACCGCCGAGGGAAAACCGTGACCAAAAGGCATTACACAGCAAAATCCCGCTGCAGTCTTTTGCACAGCACCACATGGTAAAAAGTGGCGTACTGCAACAAGCACCAGGCAAAGAGTACAGTTGCACCCACATCTTGCTCACTCCGTCACTAATTCCAAATTCACAAGAAGCTGCCACCAATTGTGAACATGGGTAATCCGTCAAAAGGCAGCAAGGAAATCTGTGAATGCAGTAAATACCTGCAAACAAAAAAAAAAAAAAAAAAAAAAAAATACATATGTTACTATGTATTAGAAAAAAAAAATGCAATTTTCTTTATTAAAAAAAAAAAAAAAAAAAAAAAAAGAAAGAAAGATACTTACCTATATATATATATGTATATAATATGTAAACAGCCTTCATTGAGTGGTTGACAGCAAGTTTGGCTCTATCTCAACGAGCCCAGCGAGCACACAACTCCAGCCCCGTCTTCTAATCACTCTCTCCCCCCTCCGAAATCTCATTTTTCATCCGAAAAAAAAGCTTCTGCAAATTCATCCAATTCAACAATGGAGAACCGAGCAGTTCAAGAGATATTGGAGAAGCAATTGCTAACGGTTGCGAAGGCGGTGGAGGACAAGCTCGACGAGGAGATCGCAGCCCTAGATCGAGTTGACGATGACGATCTGGAGGCGCTTAGAGAGCGGAGGCTTCAGCAAATGAAGAAAATGGCGGAGAAGCGCAGCCGTTGGATCTCCCTCGGACATGGCGAGTACTCTGAGATTCCTTCCGAGAAGGATTTCTTCTCTGCCGTTAAGGCCAGCGATCGGGTCGTCTGCCACTTTTACCGCGAAAATTGGCCCTGCAAGGTAGTGGACAAGCACTTGAGTATATTGGCGAAGCAACACATGGAGACACGTTTTGTGAGGATCAATGCTGAGAAAAGTCCCTTCTTAGCGGAGAAGCTCAAGATTGTTGTTCTTCCGACCATTGCTCTTATTAAGAATGCCAAAGTGGATGATTATGTGGTTGGATTCGATGAGCTTGGTGGGAAAGACGACTTCAGCACAGAAGAACTGGAAGAGAGGTTGGCTAAAGCCCAAGTCATTTTTTATGAAGGTGAATCATCTATGAAGTCTAGTGCACAAACCAGGAGTGTCCGGCAAAGCAGCAAGGCCGACTCATCAGATTCAGAGTAAAGCCATAGCTATCTGTTTTGGTTGTTATTAAAAGGCAGAGCTGTTCTTCCTTCGTCATTTGCGACTTTTGGTTGTTATTAGAAAGCAGAGCTGTTCTTCCTTCGCCATCTGCGGAGTCACAAATTCACCTGCTTTTGTGGAATGGCCTAGTTTATGATTTGTATGAAGTTCAGATATATTACTGCCTCTTTATGGTATCGTTGAGACCATCATCTAGATGGTATGACAATAGTGTCGATGCTTGTATTAACAAAAAAACAAAGCTCTGTGAGTTTTTTTTGCAAAATATTAATCCCCAGTGAGGTAGTGAAAATTTGAAATTGTCTTGTAAAAAAAAAAAAAAAAAAAAAAAAAAAAAAAAAGACAACAACAATTGCGCCAACATGTTCGAGTTGACGCAATGAAAGCAGTGATGGCATGTTGAGAGCTTGATCAGTCTCTGCAAAGCTTAACAGGTGTATCCACAGGTGAAAAGAATAAGTCCGCTTTCTCCACTTCAGGCTTGACACCTTGCACTACCTCGAGCTCGTCATTCTGGCCACCTTGATCAAAATCAACGAAGAGCTTCATTGACCGCTGTCAAACGACTAGCCGGTCTTCAGACTCGACGTCTTACACTCTGCCTCAAGCTTTGGCTGCTTCTGCACCTCCGCCATGGCTGCTGCCTTTGAATGTGATCAACAAAATCAAAGTTTGTCAACTCACACCCAAAGATCTCATCCGTCTGCTTGCCTCTGCTGCTGCCTTTGAATGTGCTTGACAAAATCAAAGTCTGTCAACTCACACCCAAAGATCCTCCGCCTTCTCTCTCTCGGACTCAGCCTGGGTTTTCACCCACAGCCTCAACCTTGCATAGCACCATATATAAAGAAAAAAAAAATGACGATATAGAATAAAAAATAATAAAATAAAGTAAAATGAAATGATGATGTTGGGAAGTAATGATGAAAGTAAAAAATAAAAATAAAAAAATAAAAAAAATATAAAAATAAAAAGCAACTCTGGTGGATCAATCCACCGAAAGAAAAAAAAAGAATAATAAAAAATATATAAAATATATATATAAAATAAAATAATAAAAAATAATAAAATAAAGTAAAATGAAATGATGATGTTGGGAAGTAATGATGAAAGTTAAAAAAAAAAAAAAAAAAAAAAAAAAAAACTTTGGTGGATCTGTGCCACCGGAAGAAAAAAAAAAAAAAAAAAAAAAAAAAAAAAATCTTGGTGATGTACATGTTTTCTCTGTTTTTAGCACAATACACTAAATAAAACGAAGTATGTTCATTGATTTCCGAGTGATTACAAAAAAAAAAAAAAAAAAAAAAAAAAAAAAAAAAAAAAAAAAAAAAAAAAAGGCAGAAAGATGGAGTCTTCACAAAGGTTGTGTACTTGAGGCCCCACTACGTGGCAACATTCTCGGAACAGGAGGTATCGGAGCAAGAGGCATCGGAGCGGGAGACACCGAAGATAGATCATTCAAGGCCCCAAACCTTGGTGGAACGCTGGATGACCCAGGAAAGAGGTGCCTCTGGAAGAAAGCTGCAAACCGTTGACGATCATCAAGCTCATCAAGCTTCCTCTTCATGCCCGACGAATAGTTATTTGCAAGCACATGCAAACTTCTATTCTCGTACTTAAGCTGTTTAATCTCCTGCTTAAGATCTTCCACCTCTGCCATCAATGATTCCACTTGACGGGACCGAGCAAGCAGGCGTTGGCCCATGTTGGACACAGAGCCCGCACACTGAACACTAAGAGCGAGGGACTCTTGAACGGCCAACTCATCGGACCGTCCTGACAGCAGCCTACTATCTTTTGGAGTAAGGAGGTTCCTAGCTACTATTGTAGCTGTTGTGGCGTCCTGCATCACGGAGTCTTCACCTGTAAGAGGACCGTTAGAAGATAAGAAAGAAGGGCACCATACATTACCTTGAAGCGGCGCAACCGGATCACTGCTGAGACTCAATTCTAAGCTAAGGTTCGATGGGTTAGCCATTTTTCAAAGGTGTTAAAAGAGATGGGTGGATGTAGTTAAAACTCAAAAGGCCGGAGATGATTTTCAGGAATGAGCAATCTTCAAAGTGTGCATGTTAGAGGTGATCAATACCTCTATAAAAAGAAAGAGGCGCTTGCTCAGAAATCGAAGAGGCGCTTGTTCAGAAATCAAAGAGGCGTTGGTTCAGAAAATCGAAGGGCCGCTTATTCAAAAAAATGAAGAGACATCGCTCTGCAAATCTCAAAAGCTGGATTTTCCGGCGTAAGTTAGGCGACGCTTTCTCTGCTTTTCAGAAAACGCGTTCAACTTTGTCAAAAGATCTCCGACAAAGTTGAAAACACGTGGAGGCTGGCGACGCTTTCGCGGCTTTTCAGAGCACGGGTGCCACTTTGTCAAAAGATCACGTGGAGGTCATCATCGCAGCTACACATCTTTAGCTGACAAGCGCAAAGTTCGGCGACACTTTCTCTGCTTTTCAGAAAACGCGTGCAGCTTTGTCAAAAGAGGCACTCGTTCAGAAATCGAAGAGGCGTCGTTCAGAAATCAAAGAGGCGTATTCAAAGATCGAAGAGTCGTCACTATTTCAAAAAGCCGGATTTACGGGATCAAAACGTTTGTCGACAAGGGTAAAAAAAAAACAGTACCACCACTTGCTATTGGGAAATCCCTATATATGTCGACCTTCATCTTTTATGGCAAGGCAGACCTGCGGAAAAAAAAAATGCCTAACTCTTCCTTACCTCCGAGAGTACACTCCCAGCAAAACATCTCAAAATACTCAGTTTTTTCCTCTTCCCCAAAGATGATACCAGATGCCTGGAGTACAGATGACCCAGGAAGAAACGGTAGATGGAAGCATGTGCTGATTCATTCACCGCTTCTTCAAAAGCAAAAGTATCTCATATCATCAAGGGCGAAAGCAAAGGTATCTCATATCATGCTTTTTCCCTGTCCTTTTCCTTGTCCTTGCTCTTACATGCAGGAGAAGGGGAAATAGAGTTATCAGTCGGAACCTGAAATCAAACTTCCGACCTGGAACTGATTGCCTGGAACCTTTGCCTGGTTGCTTACCTTGCATTGCTCTCGAGTACTCATCGTCGCGGAGAAGTAATGTTTTGAAGCACCATTTAAATGCAAAGGTTGCATTCCATTCCTGCATCAGAGGACAAATACTACACGAGAAGATGCCAAACCTGCATAAGGAAATACCACTTCTGCAAAGGGAGCAAATAAGACAAGTGAAAATGATACATCAAAGCATGTGGAGACAAGCACAACAAATATATATGCTGATTCATTCGCTGCTTCTTCAAAAGCAAAGGTATCTTATATCATGCTTTCTCCATGTCCTTTCCTTTGTCCTTGTTATTACTCGCATGGCAAAGTGAAAAGAGCAATCAGACGGCACTTGGAGTCAGTTTTCCGATCTACCCTCTTCAATACGAATTGGGGAAAGATTGAACAAAGAAACAGGTCATCACTTCCACCTCCTGCTTGCCTGCCATGTGTCTGAATCCTGCTACCCAATTCAAGAGTAGCACAAAGGAAAATCAACGGTAGGGGGAGACCAAAAGAATCCTCCAGCCCAGTTCAAGATCAAGCCTCGATGGCTCTTGAAGAAATCACAAGTCCGATTCAAAATCAAGTGTTCACCACCCTTGAATCAAATTCAACTCCAGATAAAAGGAGTAAGTTCAGATCTTCGGAGGAGACCAAAAGAATCCTCCAGCCCAGTTCAAGATTAAGCCTGTGGAAAATCAACGATTGGAGGAAACCAGAAAATCTTCCAGTCAAGCTCAAGATCAAGCCTCGATGGTCCTTGAAGAAATTTCCAGCCCAATTCAAGATCAAGCCTCGATGGCCCTTGGGTTGACATCTACATTAAGGGACTTCAAAACGCATCTTCCACACGTGACAAGCACATGTCTACGACGCGCCTTGAAGTGGGGGCATTTGTAGACATCAAAATTTCGGTGAAATGAATGTTGACCAATAATTAAAATTTCAATGTTCACGTGTCACATAAATTTTACATGTAGCGTGTGATTCAACGAAAAATCGAAATAAATTGGAAAAGTCATCAAATATGACACGTGTCAATACCTGGCAGAAATGATTTATTTCATCTGATTATTTAAATCCAAAAATCAAGTTTTGAAATTCTATAAATAGGAGGCCAATGCATTCATTTAGAAAAGGAAGGAAGGAGAAGGAGAAAGGAAAAGAAGAAAAGAAGGAAGGAAGAAAGAAAGAAGCCTTGAAACTCTAAAGCTCTCAAGCAAATCCCGAAGAATCAAGAAAGCAATCTTCGTTCTTCGTCAAATCAACCTTCAAGATCAAGCCCCGACGGCCCTTGAAGAACTTCCACCAACTCAAGATCAAGCCCCGACGGCCCTTGAAGAACTTCCACCAACTCAAGATCAAGCCCCGACGGCCCTTGAGGAAAGTGTTCATCATCCACACATCCGTTCATCCTTCAAGATTAAGCCCAAAAGCCCTTGAAGATCCGTTCATCCTAAGATCAAGCCCCAACGGCCCCTTTGGATCAACAAATCCACACATCCGTTCATCGTTCATCATCCGTTCAACCTTCAAGATCAAGCCCCAACGGCCCTTGAAGATTCATTCAGCATCCGTTCATCCTTCAAGATCAAGCCCCAACGCCCTTGAAGAACTTCCACCAACTCAAGATCAAGCCCCGACGGCCCTTGAAGAAAGTGTTCATCGTTCATCATCCGTTCATCCTAAGATCAAGCCCCAACGGCCACTTTGGATCAACAACCTCAACAAATCCTCACATCCAACCAACCTTCAAGATCAAGCCCAAAAGCCCTTGAAGATCCGCTCATCCACCAACCTTCAAGATCAAGCCCAACGGCCTTTGAAGAACTTCCACCAATTCAAGATCAAGCCCCAACGGCCCTTGAAGAACTCCCACCAACTCAAGATCAAGCCCCGACGGCCCATTGAAGAAAGTGTTCATCATTCATCAACTGTTCATCCTAAGATCAAGCCCCGACGGCCCTTTGGATCAACAATTCATCCACAAACGTACACCCTTCGAAGATAGAATCAGAGGACCAAATTACAAAGAGATTGTAACCCCAAAATCATTAATACAAAATATATATTTTGTACACGTATTCTTGTCGCTTGTTTCAGGAATTTCTCGTGTTTACAACGTTATTTTGGTGCTCCTTCAATCAAAACGATAGTAGACTAAATATTGTCTATTTTAGAAAGAAAGAA